CGCGAAGCCAGCTAAAGCAGTATAACCCAAAAAAACCACATAGGTGGGGCTTCAACAACTTTGTGCTGAGTGGTGTTTCGGGATTCAGCTGTGCCTTTAATTTGTTGGTTGTCAAATTAGCAGATTCGAAACCAAAACATTAACATTACAAGTTGTTTTTTGACAATTGGTTCACCAGCATACCTCTTATGATATATCTGACCAAAGACGGCATTTTACCTTTGGGAACAGTAAGACTTAATCGTGTTCTTGGAGTTGTGATGCCAGCTGAGAAAGAAATGAAGAAGCGCGGCAGAGTTCGTAGAAAATAGCCAATATAAACAATGTGGATGTCAGCGTAGTGTCCACGTTTGACGAACAGCGTAGTGTCCTGAACAAAATCGTTACTACAATGTCAACATATGCTGGAAGTGAACCAAAGGAAGAAAAAAGATTTTTCAAACAAGAAAGTATACATACCTTGTCCTAGCAGTGTCTTAATCTACAACGACTACATGGTAGGTGTAATCTCCTTGATTCCATGTTAGAATTTTATCGTATAAAAATCAGGTCGAAGAAATATTATTTACGAATATTTTTTCATTTCATTGATATGACAGCCGTGAAATGTTGGTTATTAGCCAAAAGAGCGAAGAAATTTGATTTACCCCTTTTGGATACCAAACTAACAAAAGCCGATGCTTTATGCAAAGCTGGAAAACCAATTAAACAGAACAGAGTAGGAAGACCGTCAAGTAGTAGCATTCAGCAGATGTGCGACAACAAACGAAAAAAGGGACACCCACTAAAGAAATACCCCAAGAAGACATCCGTAAATATGGGCTGTATCATTTTCCCTATTGAGATGAGAGCACTATGTCAAGATGTAAATTTCCAGGCTGTACAGGGAAAACATATAAAGTGTGCACAAAATGTACAATACAGATGTGTATTAATAAAGAAAGAAACTGTTATTTGCAGTTTCATACTGTATACTGTAGTTTCAAAATAGTTTGACTTTACTATTACATTGTTGCAAGATGTTCCATATTTGGCACCAAAAATTTTTTTTCGTCAATAAAGTTTTCCTCGTAGCTAGATTTTTTCCAATATTTTTACGTAAAAATAGAATTAAAATTTTTATCTGAGAATTTATTTTTAACAAAAAACAAAAATTCATGCGGTAAAGGGTTAACATACACGTATATGTTGATATATACGTCTAACGTATATGTTAATATGTACATCTATGGTCTCTTATAGCAGTAATAAAAATGTATAACAAGTCCCTGTCAAAAGCACTACTTTAAAAGAAGAAATTATACCCTAAAGCTATTAACTAGAAAAAGAAGATTTTAAGTATTTTAACAGTGGCGTAACAAACTACTAAAACCAAAATTACATAAATGAAAGAAAAACAATACTTATGTATAATGCTAATTCTTTGAAAACTTGCTGGAGCCGTCTTCAAACCAAATGGGAGGAAACAAAATGCCATTTTTACCTTGTGTTGTATTCTCATAAGTATTGACCAGAATGCTGAATTTATGTAAAACTGGATAAGTATTTACAATTTCTAGTTTTTACCATTGAGTACTAAATCAATGGAAAAGGTTGTGACTGTGGTATAACAATTTTATTAAGTTCCATAAAATCTATGCAAAGTCTTGTTTTCCTGTATTCTCCTTTTTTGTATACGAAAGTTACTGGAGCAGCAAATGGACTATATGATCCCTCAATGAAATTTTTCTTTAATAGCTCTGACATTTGATTTTCTATCTCTTTTCTGTCTTTAATGGTACATCTGTATGGCCGTTTGGAGCAGTATTTATCTACCATTAAGTCAATATGAGCTTGGTAATCTGTTACAGTGCTTACATCATATCTGTCTTTAGCAAACACTGATTTATATTTATCATTTCTGATTGTTGATTTAAATCTAAATGATAAATTCTTATTTCAAAATTGTCCGTATTTATACTCTCATTAAAATTTATTTTATATTTGTATACCTCATTATTTTTTTAAGTCATTTGAATATATGTCCTCTGGAAAAATTCAGAAATACTGACATCTATATTTGATGTATCATAATTTTTTTTTAGAGTTGATATATTGTGCGATCCTTAGATCTTTGTTTTAATTTAATTTAAAACTCTTGATACAATCTAATTTAATTAAAATATCATAATTGAAATTTTCAATATATACAACAAATACATCTCATAGATTTTTAACTTTAGCGTTTGTTTTTTCACACCATTTATTGTCCTCAAGTTTACTGTTTGAAGGTGACCTTTTTCCTGGTCTTTTATCTGTAATAGTTTTCCGTACACACATTTGCTCCCGAGTCATATATTTCATCGATTTTGTAACGTATCATTTAATAATAACTTAATTTTTATTAAACTGGTGGTATTAACAGTTTTTGGATTTGTTTCATTTAATCTCCAGTTAAGAGTTGTTTAGAGTTCGTACTTGTTGATGTTTCGCAATTTCACTTTTATTTTTGAACCAGCAACTTGATTCGGGATGAAAAGGTATACCTTTTCCTTCTATTTTACACAAGATTTTCTTTCTTCTAATATTTTTTTTTTTTTCAAAATACGACCTTTTTTTCATTGATGTTTGTTCTTATAAAGTGTTCTAGACCTGTTATTTCATTAAAGAGATCTTAAGTTTATTCTAAAGTATTTTTTTGCCTTAGGTTCAAGACCTATTTAGCCAGACGATTGGTTGAATACGTAAAAACAATCTCCTACACTTCCTTTAAATTCATGACAATTTCCTAACCGTTCGTTCATTCACTCAATTTCCTAACCTTCCCATTGAAGAAAACACTAAGTATTGGGTGACTAGACAAAAAGGATTGAACAGGAACACACGCTTCACGCTAAGGTGCCCTTCATAGCAACTTTTTTAAACACAAACAATACAGGCAACGGTTAAAGGTAAATGACATAAAAGGAAAGACAATGGGAAATACAAGAACTAACGTCCTACCATTTCAGATTCACACAACACTAAAAAGGCAGTTTAGATTTTCCGTTTGGTACGTTTGAAAAATTCCCATAAAATCGATCTAATAGTTGAATTTCAACTACCTAAATAGAGAATAGAAGCAACGCTCTGCGGAAGTATGATATTTGTCGGGAGATGGCTTGAAATAAAAATGTTATCTTTTTTATTTTTATTTTATTTTAACTTCTTGATTATACCGACATTGATTCCAGTGGTTAAGGTCGTCATAACTGCCATTACATTCACATATATCAGTTTCGAAAAGTTTTATTTTATATAGGTAAGCGTTTACTGTAGCATGTCCAAAAAGGCATCTAACGTACATAGTATAAATTTTCCGAGAGATGGGGTTTCTGTCATTTGGGGGAGTAGATGGAAGAGTTGGCTATATACTGAAGAAGAAATCCCATTTGGACAAATCGTTCTATTCTATCTAGGTGACCAAGCCAGTTTAGTTTTTGTGACTTTACAAATCTAACAATATCTGCGCTCTGCATTAGTTGATCCAGCTCGTGGTTCATTTTAATTCTCCACGAACCATCGCTGCATTGGGTTGGTCCAAATATCTTCCTTAGTATTTTGCGCTCAAATATTCTCAGTTGATTTTCATCAGGGGTTGAAAGGGTCCACGTTTTACATCCATATGTGACCACTGGTCTATTTACTGTTTTGTAAATTCTAAGTAAATTCTACTTTTCATTAAGTCTTTGTACTTAGCATAGACCAAACGTAGCAGCTTCTGGTTTCAGTTCTATAACTTTTTATAACTTCTATAACTTTTTCGCCTAATAATCTGATATAATGATCTGGTATATGCTCTGTAAAATAATAAGTTTATTTTCGGGTCTACTCCCCAATCTTATCGATTAACGGCCTTAAGGATATTAAGGTTTTTTTCACATTTGTTAATTCAATTAGTAATATGCTCGTTTCAGGTTAATTTTGAATCCAAGTTAACACCTAGTTACAAGTACCAGGTAACCTGTGTCTCGAAAAAATACTACACCTGACTTCTTAGGTGAGATGTCAAGCCCATGACTACCAAAATACTTTTTGCAATAAGACATAGTTACTTAAAGGGCATAACACATTGTTGAAAAGTTTTTTTCTCAACATAGAAACAGAAGTCATCGTAAAATGTTTCAATGCATTCCCATAGTATGTAAGTTTAATGAATACAAGTTAAATAATAAGGGACTAAGAACTGAGCCCTGAGGTAAACCTTTGTTAACTATCCTCGGAGCAATCAGTGAATTATTTAAACGAATATGGACTTGTCTATTTGTAAATAGATTGACTAATTTAACAAGTTGATCAAGCAGAAGGTCGAGAATAACATTATCATATGCACCAGAAATGTCCACAAATGCAACCACCTAAGTGTGAAATGCAATCCATAGTTCCTTTCCCTCTACGAAATCCAAGCTGACCTTCTGGGTAAAGGTTGTTACTTTCCATCCACCATTCTAATCGATTTTTCATGATTCGTTCAAATGTTTTTAATATGACATAAGAGATATCGGTCTTGACATTGGCATCATTAGCTTTTGGGATAGGTATTACAAGACACTGCTTCAAAGAATCACAGTTATCACCTTTAATTAGAATATTGTTAAAAATATTACGGAGAAATTGAAGTGCTATTGTAGGCAAGTTATATATCATAAGATAATTGATACCATCAATCCCAGGAGAGGATCTCTTAGAATACTGGATATTAGCACTTAGTATTCTAAAGTATCTCTTATCAATTCTGTCAACTATAGAATTTGGAAGTCCGATAGCTATCAAATCAATAATAATTTTTGTATCTAACAACTTGTTTATTTGTAGCGGAAGTCTCTCTTTTTTAGAGCATATTTTAATAAAGAACCATTTATGTATCTGAACTCAATGGTATACTTCACTGGAGTCCACCCTATGTCTGCATATATGTCAGAAAACTTTTTTCCCTTCTTCCAATCAAAATTTATTGTTTGTTTTATAAGCATTGAACTGTACTAATCGATACATGATCCTTCTAAATACCTTAGAATTTCGATTTTATCGGTGTTTTGATACATTTTTAATATAGTACATTCATTTACTTTCAAATGTTTCCATCCGTTGTAAAACGTTTCCATTTTTACCTGTGGATTTTTCTATTACAAATTTTTATGATATTTGTTTTTTACTACAGGTTTTAGATTTTGATGTAGTTACCCTCTCTAAGATTTGTCCTAAAGCTTTCATCGAAGCCCCAGTTGTTACCATTTGAGATTCTTCAGTGTGAGCACTTCTATCTTCAAAAGCTCTGGATTGATTAGGAAATGCCGAAAGGTCTTAATCCAAATGAAAGAAAAATCCAAATCTGCAACCTCCACGTCGTAGAAGATGGACAACATCTATCTATAGATGACCAATGCAGATAGGGACCGAGTGATTACCGGTATAAGCAATCTCTTACTTACTGACCAACGGATACGGGCGGATGAGTTGGTAAATGATAAAGTACTCTGTTGTCCTTTTGTTCTACAAGAGATATAACAATAACAATGGGGGATTTTGATGCCAAATTGGGAAAAGGTAAATTCCAAGGCATTATTGGTGAATTCGAAGTAGGAATAAGAAACGAAAGAGGGTAAAGACTGACGGAATTCTGTCAGGAGTTTGAAATGATAGCCACAAATACATTCTTTTAGTTACCACCATGTAGGATGTAGGATATTATATACATGGAAATCACCTGCGGATAGCAAAGAAAAAATTATCAGAAACCATAAAGATTATATTCTTATCAATAAGAGATACCGTAACTCCATAAAATCGGCAAAGACATATCCAGGAATAGATGTGTCATCAGAACACAATCCAGTAATCGTAAAATTCGAAGTCCACTGAAAGAAAACAAAAAATCAACAAAAGACACAACAAATAAGCACTCTGCTAAAACACCCAAATATAAAAAGAGAACTAACGTTGAAAATTAACGAAGAGTTAAGTAAAACAATAATCATTGATAATGAAGATTCCAACAAAAATGGGAAACATTTAAGAACACATTAATGATGCCAATTAAAGATACGCTGAGTAGTCACAAAATCGATGAAGCTAAGACCCCATGGATGACAGATAAGATCCGGCAACTAATGGACAAAAGAAGATCTTACAAAAACAAAAATGTAAACGAATACAAAGCCACACACAAGGAGATCATGATAAAAATACGGGCAGCTAAAGAGAAGTGGTACAACGACAAATGTTTAGAGATAGAAAAACTCCAGAGAAATCATGAGAGTTTTGAATTGCACAAAAAAATTAAAGAATTAGCAGGTATAAGACGGTCCAACAATAGTAACACCCTGGTTGATACGAATAGTAAAATAATATCTGATATCAAAGGCAAACTAAACAGATGGAGAGAATACGTCCAAGAATTATTTGAGGACGACAGGACACAACAATATAGCATGAACGATTGCGAGAGTGATATAGGTCCAAATATTACTAAGGTTGAAATAATACATGTACAATAAATCTAATAAAAACCTAAAAATCTAATAAAACTGCGAGGCCTGACACAATTCCAACTGAAATAATTAAATTAATATCACAAGATCAGATCAGTGTATTGGTAGACTTATATACTATATATAATACGGGTAATATTCCGAGAGATTGGCTCAAATCAACATTTATTACATTGCCAAAAAAAACCTAGTGCAAGGAAATGTAACGACCACCGTATAATTAGTCTAATGAGTCACACACTAAAAATATTCTTAAAAATTATCTATTTAAAAATTTTCAGAAAAATGGAACAAGAAATCACTGAAACCCAATTTGGATTTAGGAATGCCATGGGTACATGAGAGGCATTATTTGGATTTAACGTCCTCATGCAAAGATGTATGGATGTAAACCAACCACTCTGTTTGTTTTATTGATTACAATAAGGCGTTCGATAAGGTCCGACACAACCGTCTTATACAGTTACTTAAAGATAAACACATCGACAAAAAAGACTTAAGAATAATAACTCATCTCTACTTTAAACCAAACAGGGAAAGTCAGAGTAGGCAAAGAACTTTCGGAGGAAGTAGAGATGAAAAGAGGCCTAAAGGCAAGGTTGCATACTCTCCCCTTTTTGTTCAATCTATATTCGGAAAAAATAATTTAAAAAATCACTCGAACATGTAACAATTGGAAAAAAAGTCAACGGCAGACCCATCAACAATATCAGATATGCCGATGATACTATACTAATTGAAGAGAATATACAAGATCTACAGACACTCTTAGATAATATAGTAAATGCTAGTGAGGAAAGCAGACTATCGCTTAATGCCAATAAAACAAAATTTATGACAATTTCCAAAACACAACAACAAGACATTTTAAACATAAGGAGGTTCCAATAGAAAAAGTAAAAAAATACAGATATCTTGGTACAATTATTAATGAAAATAACGAGTATACAGAAGAAATAAAAATGAGAATTAGACAAGCTAGAGCAACATTTAATTAGATGAGAAAAGTATTATGCAGTAAAGACCTTAGATTGCAACTCAAAATAAGAATATTACGTTCATATGTGTTTTCGGTGCTGCTGTATAGGGTGGAGGCCTGGACCTTAAAGAAAGAGGTGAGCGATCGACTTGAAGCATTCGAGATGTGGACCTACCGAAGAATATTAAAAATAAGTTGGGTAGACCGAATAACAAATATTGAGGTCCTCAGAAAGATGACAAAGGAAATGGAAATCATGAATACGATTAAGATAAGAAAGTTACAATATCTCGGTCACGTTATGAGAAGGGATAAATATGTGTTGATACAAACCGTAATGAAGGGAAAAATACAGGAAAAACGAAATATTGGAAGAAGACGCATCTACTGGCCCAACAATCTGAGAAAGTGGTATAATTGCAGTTCCATCGACTTGTTCAGAGCTGCAATCTCAAAAGTGAAAATAGCTCTGATGATTACCAATCTCCTTAGAGGAGACGGTACCTAAAGAAGAAAGTGTGAGCTTTGCTGTTCCAATAAAAAATCATTGAACTGTATATTTCCATATTCATCCATATAAACTTTCAAAGTATCTTCATCTAACATGATCCACAATTTAATTGTAGTACCACTTTTTGTTAGAGCTCTTTTTAATTTTTGAAAAGCTGCTGTGTCCTGTATTTTTCATGATTGGAAATATTTTCTATATCCTTCTTTATCCAATTGAGGAACTAAGACGCTCATAATTACTATTACACAACAACTTGCAAAATCAATCAACGTGTATCAATAATAAAAATCGACAACAAAGACCTCTCCAATATAAATTATTATAATTGAATTAATTAAAGGTAAGCACATTAACTACGACACTGGCACACTTCACATCTTGAAGTGCACAGACAGAAACCATATGTATTTCGTTCTTAAGGAATCGCCACTTTTTCTGCCAGTTTAGTTTTAAATGCCAATATTGAAAGTTATAAGTAATAAACTGTTTATCATTGATAATGGTAATTCGTCGAAACGATTGAACAATAATAAAGTATTTTATTAATACCAGACCGATAAATCAAGGAAGGGATTCTACTAATTAAATTAAGTATAATGTAAAATAAAACGAAATTACTTACCCTTGCTGTTGATAAGACGTACAGAAAATCTCCGGTTGGTGATAAGGTTGTATCTGGTAAAATTGGATTACCATCGTCCACAAATACCTCCTCATATTCGGGAGGTTCTGGTCCAGATAAAAGCACTTTTTTAATCCGTCCATCAGTTGTACCGAGAAATGCCAAAACATGTTTTCCTGTAGACCCAGTGGTAACTGCAGATAGGGAGATATTCGGAAATACAAGCGAAGCTGTAGCTACCAAAGGTGTGAATCCGCTAATTTTCAGTCCAACTTCACAAAAATTAGGAATATTTCCCGCAGAGCCACTGCTTGGACATTTGCCATCTAAGATAGGGCCAGAAACATAACCCATATTTCGATCTTTAACGCTGCCATTAAAACACATGTGAATATTTTCAATAAATTTTCCTTCGATATCTCGCAATGGATAAAGACATAGGGCAGAGTGGTGTTGCGGTTCATTTGTTATTCCTACAGAAGGTCTAAAAACAGCTACCAATACTGGGGATCCAACTGTTATCCCCAATGCTGAAGCTAATTCTTCCTTAGCAAAGGTGATTTTCGCATCTTGCACTAGATTATATTTCGTATCTTGGTCAACACATAGTAAAGTAACTTCTGTGTAACTGTCATAATTAGGATCATTTATACAAGTTCTTGAAAGCCGTGAAACATAACCCTGTTCTTCTAGACCGGGTAGGTGAGACTGCTTTTGAACAATAACAAAGTAGGCATATTCACTAGCATTAAATCCGTATACATACTGTACAATAAAATGATCTCTATATTTAACGTCAATACTCAACAGAGACTGTTTACTAAAAGTTAATTCTGCAATTTCTAAGGTTTCTAGATCACGACTTGCTATTGCCGGTACATCATGTCGGAAGTCACCATTGTTCGTAAATGTGGTTCCTACATAAAGGATATTTGAGCGACCCCAATGGTTGTATTTTTTGGGCCCTATATAGGCGTAAGTAGACGCGTTGGCATCATTAGCTGCAATGCTTCTGGGAATAAACTGAGATTCGGCACTAATGTTGCTTAATTTATACTTATAGCAAGCTCCTTGGGACAAGGATCCACACGATATTAAAGTCCTTGAGTCAGGTTCAACAAGTAATATTTTGTTATAATTATCCATTAGGGAAAGGGGAATACTAGGGTCATTACATCCGATGGCATGGCACGAAGGACTATCGTTTTTGGGGCCAGTAGTCACCACCTGCTCCAGGCGGAGGTTTCCGTCGAGCTGCAAAATGCGATTCGTGCCGCCCACGAAGACTCTCTGAGTTTTTTGATCGATGGCCATGTGCCAAAATCGTTCAGATGGATCATCGGGGCCAGGGTACTGCGCCAGCAGGATGCCTGCAGAAGCGCGCCCCCACAGCCCCGCCAGTAGCAGCAGCCAAATGCCTGCCACGGTGCTGCCCACCGTTCCAGCATGAACGGTTTTTATCAGCATGAAGACTTCAAGTGCATAATACTGCTGGAGCAGGAGAAGCTGTGGACCGCTTCACTTCTCCAGATCTTCATCCCTAAAACAAAGAAACACTTTTGTTAATTACAAAAAAATATCATATTTATTTAAAATATAAAAATTTTAAACAAAATAAATATCACTGACAGTAAAATAATCGAAAACACCCTGTAAATAGAAATATATTATTTGTAAAGAAAGTTGGTGGTTTTATAAATTTAGTGAATAATAGAGACTTTCGGAGAAAAGTGGACAATAGTAAATTTGTATAAATTGTATAAATTTTTGTAAATTTAGTGAATAATAGAGACTTTCGGGGGAAAATGGACAATAGTAATTTTGTAAACAATTTCGGTGAAGTGTACGGTCCGATGTATTAAGTAGGATTTTTGGCGAACCATATTATATTTTTCTTTTCATAAATATAGAAATCCAAGGCCTTTTAAGTAAACGGTTTGTTATGTATAATACGTCAGGTAATTTTTGGAAAACCCAAAAAATTAATTGACACAAATAAGGTTAGATTGTTGATAAGGGCTGAGTTTCGGATTGGTTATGAAAGTAGAAAAAAGGTGGGAGAATGGTTTTTGGGATGCAAGACCAGAGGAAGAAAAGAGGCATGGCGATTTGAACATCGAGAGACAGCAGTCGAGTTAAAAAAGAATTTGTTAAAAAGTGGTATTTTTTGGTGTTTGTGTTGAAAATAGTATGCAAATGTGGTAAGCAAAAACGAAGCCAAAAAGAACGAGAGTAATTACTGTAAGTAGAAACAGATATATTTGTTTGGTATGAGCGGAAGCCGATTGTATCTTGGAGTTAGGAGCTTGGAGTAAAGAGTTTGAGCAGAGATTACGGCAGTTTTCATAAACTGTTTTCACAGTAGACAGAACATAGAGCAGGCGTATTTGGAGAATCAGGAAATTTGGAGTCAGCATTTTTTGAAAACAAAAAAAGTTTTAGCTTGTTTATTTTGTTTTTAACAGAGACATTTGACTATGACCATATATTAAGATTTGTGTAAATTATTTGTGTTTTAAAATTGTCTCTTATTAATTAGAGAAGTCAAGTAATGAGTAAATTTTGAATTTGTTTTGGATTGGATCATCACATGGATGAGTGATTTTTATTTTAATTATCTTGTATGGTATAAATTTCTATGATTATCAGTATATTTAATAGAGATATATTTTAAAAATAAATAACTTTGTTTTTAAGTTTATAATTGTTGGTCTATAAATTCATTTTCCTATTGTTTATCTTTTTCCTAAATGACATCTATCCTAAAGTACTTTGAAGCCACATTTTATTGTTTTTAAATAGTAAAAGAGTCCTGCGATGTATTATTGAGTTTTCATTTGTTTTATAAAGATAAACGTAAGTAGAGATCAGATTCTTATAAAGATAAATTCAATTACATTTGAGCAAATCATAACAACTGGCGCCAGAACGTGAGGGCAGTTAAAAAAAAGTATTAATAGTTGCATTTGAAAAGAGAAACAATTTGAAAAATACAAACAACAGAGGTGTTTCAGATTTTTTTTGGTCGAGTGAATAATAATTTGATGCATTCCATTTTTATGATAATTTATTTAATTTTTTGATTAACGTTTGACAACTTTTTGAAAATTTTTGACAAATTATTTATATTTGGGTGAACGGAAAATTTGTCGTATTTGCAACAAACAGAAGAAATTAAAAGTTTCGTATTTGGCGGGGATAAGATTTCAAGAGAAAAACAAATGTCTACGACAAGAAGCAAAGTGTGGAAAGTAAAACACAAAAAGCAATCATTGTAACAACAACCATGGAGACCAAAAAACAGGAATTATCAGAAATAGAAAAGTATGAAGAGGGAATAAAGAATTGCCATAAAAAGGAACTAGAGAATTTGGAAATTAAGTTGAAGAATGCGATTCAAGAAGACATGAAAGAAGAGACACAGAAGAAGAGGTTGAGTTTACCGAAAGTACAAGCTGAATATAGCCGCAAATGTCAAAAATATTTGGGTTTGGCGGTGTTGGGATGTTTTTATAATGCATATGTTATATGCTTCAAATATAAAGAGAGAAAGCTTTTAAAAAGTACATTTTGATTATACTATTTATGAATTCTGCAATTCTTAATTTATATGAAGCAATAACGAGTTCATATTTGTCTCTTTTGAGATTAATTGCAACATCTTGTTCCAGAAATGAACATATTGTTTTAAAATATAAAATAAAAAACAATACATTTAGTACTTGAGTACATTTGATATTGTATAGTAAGTTACGGCCGTGTTAGGCCTCTCTACTCTTAAAAGATTTAATTATAAATCGATAAACTCAAAAGTGATTTTATTTCTCTGGAGCTATATTTGCTCATATTAAGAATCCTTATCCTTCAACGGTCACTGAAGAACCAAACCTATGGAGATACGTCCATTCACAAGTCCTTTGAAGTAAGGCTTGGAATCCAAAGATTTCCAACCCTCTTTAGAAAATATTTGGGTTTGGCGGTGTTGGGATGTTTTTATAATGCATATGTTATATGATTCACATATAAAGAGAGAAAGCTTTTAAAAAGTACATTTTGATTATACTATTTTATGAATTCTGCAATTCTTAATTTATATGAAGCAATAACGAGTTCATATTTGTCTCTTTTGACAATAATTGCAACATCTCCAGTTACAAGGCTCCCTCACATCTGTTTCAATCTGCCAACTACTGATTTGACAATTGCCAAATCTATTCCCTAATCTATCAAAGGGTAATTGCCAAAATAATTTCTAGTAATTAAATGCAATTAATCTCCAAAGAAACAAATATTTACTCATTCTTGTTCTATATAAATCAAAAATTGCAAAATTTATAATATAATATTAACAAAATGTACTTTTCTAAAGCTTTATCTTTTTATATTTGAAGCATACAGCACCTACATTATAAAAACATGCCAACACTGCTACACTGAAATTGTTTTTCCATGTTTGACATTTGCGGCTATAATCAGCTTGTACTTTCGGTAAATTCAACCAAAAAAGAATTAAAAAATTAGAAAAAGAAGTTACAGAAAACAAAAACCAACAAACATTTGGAGACAGAAGAGAAATACTGATCCATAGAACAGGTGACGTGAAAATCCAACTTGGCGGGGATATAAAAAAGTTGCACTCGATTCTTTTCATTAATAATTTAAAGAAAAAACTACAGTACGTTGAAAATTTCGATTCTACATGTCTCGAAATTAGGAGGCTACATTCCTCGAAGGAAAACATTAGAAACCATCTCAAGGATGAAGCGAGCTTATGGTTTGATAGTAAAGAAGAGGAATTTACTAGTTAAAATTTTGAGAGAAGATTTGAAGATTTTTAAATTATTTCTGTGGCAAAATACAGCAACTAGAGATCAACAAAGAACTGCAGAACAGGAGATACAATGAAAGGTTGGGAGTGTCAGAAAAAACCTATGCATTACAGATTTACAACAACGCCAAACATTTAGAATACAATTATTCATCGAAGCAATTGGTAAAATTATTTGCCAGGTATTTTGAGAAGACCACATCACGTTACAAAATTACAGAGACATTGATAGTCTCTGTCAATTTTTACAAATAAGAGAATCGCGTATACGACATAAAAGAACTAGAAGACCACACGAAACGAAGGACTACAGAGATAGGGGACAAAATTCTCGTCAGGAACAACCAAAAAGAGAATTTATCCCGAAAAGAGAATACGAAAATAGAGAAAACGGAAGAGAGAGTTACGAAGCCAGGAACCAACAAGAAAGCAGAGACAGATACAGGGAAAATCGTAATAGAAATATATATACAAACTATAAAGAAAATAACAATTACAGGAGAATAAATGAACAAAGATACCGGGATAACAAATACAACTCAGAAAGGTCAGGAGAAGTGAGAAGAGAGGTAAATAACACACAAGTAGAGTGTATAAAAGAATACGGGGAAGAGAGACAGTACGATGACAGAAGAAATACAGAAAGATAACAGGAGGATTTTCACGAAGGCGCGCACTAAAAACAAAGAAACAAACTGGAATTTTTTGTCACCCAAAGGAATTTTTAAAACTCGCCGGACACCAGGAGAAAGCAAATGGATCAAATTTAAAATTTGTAAACGGGTTTCTAAATGAAACTACCATAAAAATTTTAATAGATTCTGGCTCTGAAATATCGCTCGTAAATAGAAATTTGATAGAAGAAGTAAATTTGATTTATAAAATACCTAAGGTCAATTTAATGGGCGCAAATAAACGAACGTTAGCAACGTGTTAGGATACGATTGGGAAAGAAATTTTTTTCAATACAATGTGTGATAATGCCAAATATGTCGCATGATATGATAGTAGGTGTAGACGAGTTATCGGATAATAATGTAGTGTTGGATTTTAATAATAAAACCATGAAAATCGAGGATGAAGTGGTAGAACTGGAAAAAAATTGGATAAGGACAAGGATAATGAGACAAGGAAGATAGATGAAGCGGATGAAGAAAAAGGAAGAGAAAGAAGAATAAAAGAAGACATTCAGACATGGGATGTTTGGAATCCGGGGAGCATAAACGAAAATAGAGATGATAAGTTAGAAACGACGGTATTTGAAGAAGAAGTGTATGAAAACGAGGATACTAAATGCACAGTAAATATGTGTACACAAGATACGGAGAACGAAAGAGAACTAATTTACGGAGCAGGACAGGAAAAGGAGATGCGTTTAATTAAAAACTATGAAAATTTAATAAACGAAGTTAACAGGTATAAATCTCGACAAGAGGTGAAAAGAGAAATCGAGAATTTTGGAGGATCAGATTATAGAGAGATGCGA